TGAAATACAAGCACAATACGTAGACATGGACAGGAAACACACAGACAAGGGCTTACTACTAACTGAAAGTTTAACCTTCGCAGAGGCAAAGATGGTTTTCTGGCGTAATATGTCAGAAGATGGGGCTGTGAAGATCAGTTTCAGAGCCCAGTTGTGGTTAAGAAACACAAAGATGAGCGCACAAGATTTATCATTCAAGCTGCAAACTTAGCACGTGATGACTTGACTTGCATGAGCAAACGGCCAATAGCTCTGTCCTTTAAGAAGCTTGCATTCTTTGACAGTGACAGATTGCCATTGGCATTAAGGAATCATGGTAAGGCAAAAGTGGGCATTGATAAGGTGGGGCTGATATACACAAATATTTCATCGGTTTTGTAATATTTGGTTTGCAATGTGGTCCAACCATATGTGCTTACGAAATGTTTTCTCTGTAAGTATATATTTCACAGCGTTTCAACTAAACTTTCAGTTGGTAGTAAGCGCTTGCTCGCGTATTTCCTTTCCCGGTATAGATATCACGCTCGTATTTCAAACCATCATGAGTCACCAACTCGACCAATCAACCATATTGACACGCATAGTCAAATGTGAGACCTAGAACCACGACACCTTTCCAAATCCTTCTCACAATATCGTTCCTATTGTAGTTCCTTAGAGCCCTATTTTTCATTACACTTACATTCCTGTTACTTTTAGCCATTACAGAACTTTCGTGCTCCCTTAAAGGGGTGCTCTAACACTATTCAACCCCCCCCCCCCCCCCCCATGTTGACGTACAGATGAACTGATGCAGCGAAAACGGCAGTGATAACGGCAAGCAGTCTGAAGTTATCCGACTTTGAAAATTCAAAATACAAGAAATAGTGCCGACCTGCAAAATTAAAATACCAGAAATAATGCTGCAGCTGCGGTCATGGTGAAAGTCATGCTGTGAGGCAGGAAAAAACTTTGCCCGCTCGAGAAAGTCAAGGAGTTTGCTGTTCAGCGTACGTTCAAATGTACGGCATATGATCGACCTGATGGAGATTGGGCGATAGTTCTTGGGTTTGCCAGAGGGCTTGGATTTCCCTTTGTGAACAGGGGTAACCAAGGCACGTTTCTAAGAAGCAGGCACAGTCCCATGATCAAGTAGGAATCGAAACACAGTGCACAGAGATACAAGCACTTGGGGCACAAGCAGTCGAAAAAAGGTGGGTGCCATGCCATCGGGACCAGGGCTTGGAAATGGATTGATGTTAGAGATGACGAAGGAAAGTGCTTCTGGTGAAAAGTAGCTGAAGGAAGGAGGGAATCGTCACGCGAGTTGTTGGGAGGCTGAGTGGGGTGCATTCCTTGATCACGTGGAGAGAACTTGTCAAGTAATTTAGTGTCATCGGCGGGAGCTCTAACATAGATGGAAAAAAATTGTTCAGCTAAGAAAGAAGAGACTTCCGCAGGGCAGCCGACAAGCTTTCCTCAGATGGTGAAGCTGGGGCATTGACATGATGAACAAAAAATATTTACTTATGACTTGAACAACTTGGGGTGCTCCGTAGCTTCCTCAGCCAGCCTGGTGGTGTGGCGTTCATGCTTTATGTGGATCGCTGCGTTGAGCGCTTGTTGGCCTTCGCCAGTTGGAAAGTGACGGGGCATTTAAGTTCGGGGGGGCCTTCCAAAACAGCAATCGTCTTTGTCTCGCTGCCGTCATGATTTCTGGGGTAATCCACGGGCGGTGCCTTCGCTTGAATGTTCGGGTGCACGATGGTATACACACGCGTTGAATTGCCGATGCCATGTCGCACCACAGTTCATAGTTGCCAAGGCAGTCATTGCCACATGAGTTCATGCACCAGTGTGCAAGGTGAACTAACTTAGTATGGTCAGTCTGGTCAAATTTTTCACTGCTGAGGAGTGTGGTGCCCGATTAGGGGCAACACTGCAGCATAGCACACTTCAATGGTCCGATGATTGCTGCTAGACAGACCCTAACTTGTTGTGCAGGAGGTTACTCGGGTTGGGTCGGCCACGAACACAAGGTCTAGGAAGAGGAGGTACCATCTCGTGAAGAGTATGTGGGTTCGAGGCATGCCTGGACGATGTTGGCTGACATCATGACCTCTAGGAATAGGTCGTTGGTGCGGTCGTGTGAAATCCAGTCAATATGAGCACTAAAGTCGCCGAATACCAGAACGTTGCGATACTGTTTGCTCATGGCAAGTAAGAGAGATGAATCAAGGTGCTTATACGCTTCATCCTTTAGTGAAGGCAGGCAGTAGGTGAAATCTATCAGCACGCTGCTGTGTGATAAGAAAAGCTCGACGAAAAGAGCCTCGAGATCATCATGTTCCAAGTCTAGCCGGCGGTTCGCTTTTGCAGGAGTTGGCAAAGCCGTCAAGACAACGCCACCCAGGCCACACTAATCTTTCCGGAACACTGGATACCCGCTAGTGTCAAAAAGTTCGCAGTCAGTCACACTCGCGTCAAGCTAGGTTTCTGTGAGCACACATGACAGTATTTGATGGGATTGCAGATAGATGCGCATGTAAATCTACTATTTTGTTGCAGACACTTCGACAGTTGGTGTACCAAAACGTTAGCGTCTTCGCGCCAGGACAGAATGTAGGTGCGGCGGGCGCTGAGTGGTTACGTGAGGCCGTCGGGAATGGCGGGCGACTAGGTGTTGAGATGGAGGGCGACGATGGGATAGAAAATCTCGTCGGGAAAGTGAGGCAAGGTACACCAGAAACATACCCAGGAGAGGTTGCAGCCCCCGAGGTGTCGGTATGCTTGGAGCGACATGTACAAGCACTGACAGATTAGTGACCTCCATTTTGATCCTACACCATGATTGCTTTTTACCTAATTTATCTAATCATATGGAGGCAGCCATCCGGCGTCACTTCCACCCGGAAAGTTCAGGGGAGTGCCACTTCGTGCTTATCAGGTCGGCAGCGATGTAGTGACATTATTGCGGGATTAGAATACATAGATTGATATCGGTGCTTAGACCTATGCTAAAATTATCTTCAGCTATCGGTCTACGCAAACCACAAATAAAAAATAGGTGCTTTGATAGCGTTGGAGGGCCCCTTTAAATACTGAGCCCCGTATGCGTTTGTCTACTACCTTCTGCATGACCTCGTATATTTTATGCTCACTGCCTTCGTTACCATTAAAAATTATGACTGTAGATTTTTCGGCAGTCATGACTCAGACTGCTCCGCCTGTGTCGCAAAACCCTTTCTGTACGCCGGCGCGGTCACAACACTGGTAGCCTTTGTCGCCACTACACTACACTTAATACACCTCATTTGAAGGGAAAACCTGACAAAACTGGCTACGGACGACACGCACCTCGACTGCTGACCAGCAGGAAATCAATAAAGCGCGGCAAAAAGCAGTGCGCAAGTTGCACACCGAGTTTGTGAATGCCTCTACCAAGATCCTACATGTGGCGAGGAAACGCTGTCTGCCAACTTCAAACCTAGGTGTCATCGACTCTTTGGTGAACAGATCAGTGGGAACTCGGCGAACGGCAATCGCTGTGTGGCCGTGTTACGCAATATTTACGTTACACAGTAGTGCAACTGCATTTAACTCAGAGTTTAGAACTACACCAGTCGTATTCGCAGGCCAGTCGCATGCTATAAGCTTTGCGGCCGCGCCGTGAGGCATCACAACCATTGATACGACGACAGTGCACTGCTGGCATAGGCATAGGAACCGAACCAAGCCGTTTTTTCTGACAATTTTGTTCGAAGACTTGAGCATAGTAGTCATAAAAAATTTTTTTCATTTAAGTTTAGGCATTCACAAGCATGCGTAGTTCGAAAGAGTTGAAATTTAGATAGTGACGCACTTTAGGTGGCAGCACGGACCAGAAAACAGAGTCGCACTGCTCGTGAAAGGCACGCGGATATGTTGATACCAATTACAGAAAGTTTACTGATTACTGTCAACGAGGTGTCGCGAAATCTTGAGCTAAATAAGTGCAGAGACGTAGCCGGCATACTTTTATTTACACCAGCGAAGGTTTCATGTGCGATGGTATATCAGCGAGCGCTGAACAGCTTCTGTGCTCCAGGCATCTGCGTTGGTGCTATGCGTAGTATGTACCTCATTTGCTCATGAACGCTGATGCATGCATATTGTTCACTGCTGTACGTGCTAAAATATTACTTACGTGGTCATTATTTTATGTAAACATCGATTGATTGACTCGCAATAAAACTATTTATTGCTGCAGCTTGTGTTATCAGCGTTGTCATTTCGCTTGGCCTGTATGCGGCATCACAACTTACTAAAATAAGAATGCAAGACATTTATGAGCTTGTAATAAGTAGTTTACAGCAATGTACTATATTGTAACGAGAGAAATTGAGAAGGAGGGCTGCTGCAGCGAGCGGGGGCAGCTTTTACTTAGAATCAGACGACGAGGGTGTCGTCTGCTATGCGGAATTTGAGCCGCCATATCAAAACGCCCTTGTGCTTTCGGAGACTATTTCATTTTATGCACAGATATAAATTATACAAACAATTATTTAAGTTATTTGTCTAACAAGAAGATAATCGAGAGTGAAATATAATAATTTTTAGTTAAAAATAAAATTGTAATATTGCAACCTTTTTATGATTACCGACAGAATCCAGACAGCGCCATCACAGAACACCTAGCGCCATCATCATGTCCAATTTTTGTCCCCATTGGCTCCATGGGTATGTCCCTCCCTTGATATTCCTTTTAATTTCGATTTAAGTGGGGACATATTAAGCTCCAACATATGATACCTGCCGAGTTTATGTCATCTAGAATTCTGGCAACGGAGCCTGCCAGTCATTCCGTTTGTGAACGAAGATCGATGTTACACAGTCAAACCCTGATGGTAAACACTGTTAGCACAATGCTTCGAGGAGTAAACTCGCAGGTTCACGAAGCCTCGAAATTACTTCCTTTCACAGCAGTAATCACTGAGTAGCTTTTTTTTTTCTCGTGTAAGAAGCTGTGAAACACTACTTACATCGTATCAGGCGTCGGTGCTCGTACAGCCGTGCACAGGGCAGAATGCACGCATTGCGATGCTACGAGACGAAGTTCTCCGTCCGGCAGCTCTTCTTTGAAGCGCCAACCAAAATCCAAGGCTGGGGACGTTGACTATTAAAGATGCAAAAGACACCTGACGCAGAAAATATGAACACGGTGGAAGTGCCAGCGTGCGGGACGCGTCTTTTCTACTGTGGGTCAGCGTAAAGAAAGTGAACTCGTTCGGGTCTTGTGGGGGCTGCCATCTTGGCTTAAAAACAAACAAAAAAGCAAAAAAATACTATAGATCCGTGCTATAGATAGATGAATAGGGCAAAGAAAGGTAGAAGAGGCCCTGACGTCACTTGTTGTGAAGTCGCGAAGAAGTCGGCCAAATTGACTGGGCAAATTCTCCTCTCTTGTTTACATCCGAATGTAAAGGCACACGGAGGAAGGAAAGGAAGACACACGACTCTCTCTCTCCGGCTCGGAAAGCACGTGAGCTAAGCAGCGCGTGTGTCGTGACGATCCGAAACTAATGGAACGGGGCTCATTACTCTGAACCTGCGAGACACCTTCAGCGAAATCGCTTCGTCCGAGTAATAACAGGGAATAACAGCTCGCCGACAACGAAGCAACTACGAGAGAACGCGCGCTAGATGCACTGACAACGGCGAGTGCTTTCACGTCATTAATTCAGCAACTCTACAGACAACACGATCGGTCGTGCGCCTTCTACGGTTGCATTCCGCCACGCGGCCGACGCAGCGTCCTGCCACTGTGTCCGTATTCCGCGTAAAACTCGCCGGCGTCAGCATTCTGCGACCGTGGTGACTTTGAGGACGGTGCTAGTGACAGTTGAACGCGGTTGCTGTTACGTTGAGACTACATGCAATGCTGGTGGAGAGTGTACCAAGCGGAACAGAAAACGTGTTTTGATACGCACATGCAAGTTGTTACTGTACACATACAACACGAAACTACGTATGTGCACATGGTCCTCATGGCGTCTTGCTGGGCCCAACAGCGTCGTCCGTTGTCACAAGCAGGAGCACTGCTCAACCGTCACTGACCTGCAAGGCGTTCGTCGTCATTCAGCTTCGTCATGGTGCCCAACGCAATTTCGCTGAACACTAACTGCTTCATCCGCGTCATCCGCCGCTCGACACATGGATATGCACTTGTTCTACGCACTGTTGAAACCCCGTGATGGACGAGGATTTGTAAACGTTGCTAAGAGTAATGTAACTGCCAGGAGAACACTGCGTAACCAATAATGCGGCGCAGAGCACAGATATTGTCCCCCAGGTCTCAGCACAAGACATGGGGAGGCACACATGCCGCTGCTAGCCGCGGCTGCTCACTGTCAGACCAGCTCCACTGCGCAACACGTAACCATAACAACGCCGCCATTGTGCCTAGTGAATATGGCCGCCATGATGTCATTTCCGCCACACTTTTCACGCCCTGCGCCGGCTGGGCATGCCCTTTCCTTACCTTTCCTTCCTCCGTGTAGATAGTACACATTTGTCTAATTTTTGTACTTCTGGCTTCGTGTGTGTTTGTGTGGCTTAAAGCTGTTTATTTTACGAAAACAAAATTTAGCCAATTTTCACCGTTTGCGCTTCACAACCTTATTCTTTTAAGATTATTTTGAATCAAGTTTCTAAGTTCAAAAGGGTTCGTTCTTTCTTTCAAAACAAAACCGTAACCAGTAATAAACAAAGCCGCAACTGCCCGCAAGTACGAAGACTAGGCAAATGTGTGTACTACGCTACAGTGAGGCACTGTAACTACGCATCATTTCCATGGTCGCTGAACGGATGAATGTATGGATAGATATGGCTGTACCCTTTAGATCGGGCGGTGGCTAGCGCCACCAAGCCGTCATACTTAATGAACTCAAAACTATATTTATTTTTTTTTCCCTGAAAAGTGAGTTTGAGGATTCATACTTTGCAGTGAAGAGTTGAATTTTCACTCGTGCCTTGACTTTAGCCACCAATCAGATAACCTCCTTCTAGTTAAGTCTACTTGCTTAAAGTCTATTTTGCCCTCCCGGTCCGTAAACCCCAGTGCTTTGAAAAACTCTGCGCCATCATCCTGAACTATAGGGTGAAGCCCTTTACAGAACATTATCAAGTGTTCGGCAGTTTCTACTTCCTCTCCACACGCACTGCATACTGTGTCTACCCCTTTGTATTTGGCCCGATATGTCTTGGTTCGCAGTACTCCCGTCCTTGCCTCAAACAGTAGAGAACTACCCCTAGTATTATCATAGATCCTTTCCTTGGCAATTTCCTGCTTAAAAGTTCGATAGATTTCTAGTGCGGACTTCTTAATCATGTCAATTTTCCACATGTTAGTCTCCGTTTCCTTCACTTTCTTCTTAACCGATAGTTCTTTTTGGTTTGGCCACCTCCTGTTTTCTAATTATTTACCAGTCAACTTCCTGGTTTGCTTCCTCCATTTTGTATCGACATTCTTCATGTACAAGTAGCTGAAAACCTTCCTAGCCCAACGCTCTTCCCCCATTTCTCTCAATCGCTTCTCAAATTTTATCTTGCTGCTAGCTTCCCTGCCCTCAAATGATGTCCATCCCATATCACCTTGTACTCCCTGATTTGGTGTATTCCCGTGAGCTCCTAAAGCAAGCCTACCTATTCCACGTTGCTTAATTTCCAATCTTGCTTGAACTTCTGATCTCATGCACAAGACCACATTGCCGAACGTCAGCCCATGAACCATGACCCCTTTCCATATTCCTCTCACAACATCATACCTATTGTAATTCCACAGTGCCCTATTTTTCATCACTGCTGCATTCCTGTTACCTTTAGTCGTCACGTATATTTTGTGTTCCCTCAGGTACTCTGTCCCATTGCTTATCCATACGCCCAGATATTTGTATTTATCTGTTATCTCTAGCGTGACCTCCTGTATCCTAAGCTCACTACCTTCGTTGTCATTGAAAATCATGACTGCTGATTTTTCCTTACTGAATCTAAAATCTAACCGATCTCCCTCATTACCGCAGATGTCCATCAATCTCTGCAAATCTTCCTTGTTGTTGGCCATTAGCACTATATCATCTGCGTACATTAATGCTGGTAGTGCCTGATCAATAAGTTTTCCTTGTTTGACTAAAGAGAGGTTGAAGCCCAGCCCACTTCCCTCTAATTTGGCCTCTAATCCTTGTAGGTACATCATGAATAATAAGGGTGACAGGGGGCACCCCTGCCTAAGCCCCCGTTTTACCTCTGCAGGCTTGGATACCTGTTTTTCCCACTTTATAACTACCTTGTTACCTTTATAGATACCATTTAAAAGATTAGTGACTACTTGTTCCACGCCTAGTGTGTCCAGTATTCCCCACAATTCCTCTTGATCCACGCTATCGTACGCTCCTTTGATATCCAAGAATGCTAGCCACAGGGGCCTGCGTTCATTTTCTGCTATTTCAATGCACTGCGTCAGTGAGAACGGATTGCCTTCCAACCTCCTGTGTTTCCGAAACCCATTCTGCAGTTCCCCCAGCACCCCCTCATCTTCTATCCATGCCTGCAGTCTTTCCTTTATAATCTGCATCGCCAGCCTGTAGACCACTGATGTCACTGTTATAGGACGGTAGTTGTTTATGTCAGCTTTGTCCCCCTTTCCTTTATAGATCATGCTCGTGCTGCAAAGTTTCCATCCATCTGGAACTTCACCATCGATTATTATTTTGCTCACTGCCTCTCTCAAAGCCTGCTTAGACTTCGGACCTAATGTCTTTATCAGCCTAATTGGAATGCCATCTGGGCCTGTTGATGTACTACTTGTAACCTTCTTCTCAGCCCTTTTCCACTCTCGTTGTGAAAATGGAGCCATTGCTACACTTGATTCGTCCTTTTCTATTGTGGTGCATAAAGTACTTCTTTGTTGAAATTTTTCTGTCACCCTTGTTCTTATATATTCAATAGCTTCGTCAACGATCGCAGCGCCAGAGTGCCCTCTAGTTAATTTTGGGAAACTCTATGGTTCCGACGACCGCCGCTTTCCAAGTGACCGCCGATAATCCGGCAGGCACGGGAAATCTAGGAGGCGTTTTCAGTGTATATGGCCGCCATGATGTCATTTCCTCCACATTTTTCACGTAGCGCGCCGGCTGAGCATGCCATGGAGGTAGGTGGGGCATGCCCTCCCCAATCATTCCTTCCTCCGAATATTCTAGTACACTATAATTGGGCTGTACCACAAACAAGGAGGTTGTATATTGTCTTCTGGAGTGGAGGGGCACCCCGATAAGTGACGCTAGTTGCCGCCATATTGGAAAAAGAAAGACTCAGAAGCAGACGACAAAGTGCGCTTCGCAGTTCAGCGCTTTTTTCTTCCTCTTCCTCTTTTCAAAGCCACTTCGCGCTCGCAGTGGCCTTTGGAGACTGTGACATGCTTTTGCAAAGCAGTTAAAGAATTTACAAGGCCATGGTTACTTCTAGCGTCGCTTATGGCTGCACAAATCAAATAAAAAAGACGCCTGGGATCACTTTTCACATGTAAGTACTCTCGCTTCGTTCGCTGACGATCGCCTTTTTTTTTCGCGTATTTTGTTAAATTAGAAACAATATCAAAGGTGCACATGCGTGTAATGCATGCGTACAGCTGTATAGAAGGTAACTTGAAGCTTTAAATGCTCGCTGACACGACGTTGTCTCTGAGTTTTAAGTTTATGGACGAAGGACTTGCGGTCTGTGGCTGCACGTATCAAACATTGGAGCAAGTAGGACGTCTGAATGCCCTTGGAATTCCAAGTTTTTTGGAGTTGTCTTACAAGGCAAGACTCACGGCGTGAATGCATATTTTTTTGGCGAGCGAATATCGATTTCAGCTCATGTTTATCGAGGAGTTCGCAAACGTAGAGAACAATTCCTTGCCGTGATTATCCGTGTTACAAGTTTCCTAAAGGCAGCGCGCTGCGCTCTGCCTGGGAACGTGTTGTTCGAAGAAATAGTTGGAGGGTTACGGACGGTGACCACCTCTGTTCTATTCAATTCGAAGAATACTGCTTCGACAGAACGGGGCAGACAACCAGACTGCGGCCTGGCAGTACACCTTCGATTTTTCCTGCTTTCCGAGCGCATCTGCAAAAACCTGTTAGTTTCTACCTCCTTGACGTAGCTTCAATATAATGTAGTCACAAAAATAAGCAATTACGTCTAAAACAGGATGATACACCTTTGAAATCCGTTCTATCTTGCCGACGAAACCAAAACGCCAATAGACGAAGTTGTCAAAATGAGTGAGTGGCGTTATATGAAACATCAAGCTACACCGTTTTTAGGCTCTGAAGACTGTGCTTGCCATGAGAACACACATCGCCAACGGAAGTTGAAAAATATTATGCATAACCTCTCTTTTCTAACTTTAC